GCACGGAGACTACGAGCCTCTGGTCCCACTATCCGCCGAGGAGGAAGCGAAAATTCCGGACCATATCTCCGTCATTGCCATCGCGGGGCCTGAGGAGACTCCCAAGCAGTTCTGGAAGTGCAAAGAGGACGAGGCCTGGGGCCCTCTGTCTGTAACCCAGAGTTGGCCATTCAAGAAATATTTTGGCGCTACCTGGCTGGCTGGTGCTCAGAACATGGTCAAGATTCCAGAGCCGAGGGCAACTTAGATGCAGAATTTTCACCCCCGGAACTCTGTATGGACATCGCTCATTTTCGTTGTGTAATATCGTGTTTGTATGCTTTCATCTCCTCGAATTCTCTCGTTGTCATTTTATTTGCCCCATGCTCTCGTACACCGTGCCTCTTTTATCGATTGTTTTGATGGCTTTGAATATACATGCTCTTTCATTATCATTGGCTTGGAGCGCTCGGTTATCCATTGAGTTCAAAGCACAAGAAACGATCAGACTTCCAGTCTCGCCTTGGACGGGTCGGATAAGTATACTACGCCCCTTCTCGTTCAAGCTCTTAGCTGGGGCCTTTCACGGTCTAGTATACCTCGGGAGCAGACCGGAGACTGACTAGCTGAAGTGGCCGTCGAGGGTCACGGTGGAGTGCAACCGTGAGTAGTAATTTGTATATCTGATGAAACATCAACTAACCAGAGGTCTTTTGATATATTTGAGATGATGTTTCACCGGTTTTCACACATTCACACCCGCAAAAAAGGCCGGTTCAATGTTAATGTCAGTCTAGTCATCTTCATCGAGCGACTTCCTAGTCGACTGGCTGCCTAGACTCTCGTTCGTAATTACATTGCTACCGCTCTCGAACCTGACATTCGCATCCATGCTGAACCCTCTTGAATTTCAGGAGTCCCTTGTCCCAGGCGTCCTAGTATCGCGCCCACTGCCCGTCCTCCAACCAGACGAATCTGCACTGAGGCGTGTTTCCGTCGCGATAGCAAAAGCGGAAGCACTCAGGCTGTCAGCCCCACAGTCGACCCCCATGTTTTCGAGTTCGACTTCCAGTGCATCGATGGACCGGTCTTGAAAGGCTTTGTGTTGAAGGCGAAGGTTCATCATGAGTCGAGTGATGCGAATCGATGAGAGTCCGCGTTCGTAAAAGACAACAGATTAGATTTTCAGTTGTCGTAAGTGTTTAGGAGAAGGCGAGCGTTAGTGAGGGTAGTAGACAAGTGCATGAGAATGGGATGAAGGAAGTAGGGAGGGTGTATACGTCTACGAGACTCAGGGCGGGACTCACAGCTTCGTCAATGTGGTGGCGGTACCCCGTGTTATTTCCTATCGGAATCGTATCAGAGACCTATTGGGAATATGACCACAGTTGTGTGGATGGAGACTGTACTCACTTGCGCGTACTAAATGAGCGGACATGCGGAAACGTCAGTCAGTCATGTATCAATTCTCGCAAAACGGAAACGATTGTGGCGCACCAGCAACACCAGTATGTTGGCGAGGTTCACTAACAAGAGCGCACTAACTCGCAAAATTCAATGATTGTCGACATTGAAAGCAGAGGATGAGCTACATACCTGAAGTACGTGATGCCTAACACACCAGGAAGATTCAGCGATCCAGGGCTTGCAGCATGATACTCAAACAGAGAATGGAACGCACTATCCTGCAGCATGACACGCCACAAAGTTCTCGGGTTCGACCATCCCAGGTTCAAATATTTGTTGACCGTAAGACAGAAGACGACGGCGTCGTATACGAGACTGACTATCCAGGCTGTGGAATAGGCTGTAAACTCAAGATAACTCGCATCTTCATGTTGAAAACGAGGATGAAAGAGCGCGCCTTGGCCGCTACGCCGACGGTGGAATTGCAAAGTGAGGGAGGGGAGGACAAAAGGAGCGTACACAAATGATGACAAGTAATTGTCCACTCCACATCCCAGGAACGAGAGTGCCTCTTCAAGCTCTTCTGTGAGTGCACTCGTCGGGAGATGTGCTAGCTGTGCAGCGCCAACCTATGAGTGTGATATTGATACGTTCATCTCTCGTGTCTTATGACAGAGCTACAACAGAACGTACGATAAAAATAATTAGGTTGACGACGCTCAGGGCCCACACCAACCCTGTGACATAACGACGCGCTACAGAGCCTGCATATAGCGCTGTCATGCGCAAGTTGCACCTAGCATGACATGTAACGTTAATGGGGTTGTTATTGAGTAAGTCATCAAGAATGCCTACCAGCCACAGAGAATTGAAGGATCGCGATCACCCATCCACCATAAATCCTCAATTTTGGACATCTGCGGGTAGAATATGGGCACATAAGCTCATGAGACTGAATATCAGGCCTGTGAAATCAAGGGGAACTGGTGGGAGACGCACAGGTTTAACGACACAGGCGGTCCAACGAAGGTCATCCAGAACAAAGGTAGAAATCTTAATACTATCGAATGAAAAAGAAAAGGAGCGTGTTGGGTGTAAAAAGGCCGTTTTGTTTCCAGTTGAAGCGCTGCTCGACCTTGAAGGTCAAAGCATAGTCTGATGCCCGGGTCAGCCGTGCGGAGCGATACACGAGAAGGTGATTGACAGTTTCAAGACACGAAAAGACTAACCATAATAAATCAGAACTGCAAAAGAGTCAGATTTGGGGACGTCCGGTGAAAAGAGGGACTAGAACCACAGACTAAGACCGGCGAGAGACACGGCGCGCAGAACCCGCCTGCATAGCAAGTCCATTTCAGTATACCAAACCACAAAAGATGAGTGAATTACACGCACATCTGGCTCATGAGGCTGACAACCTCAGCCTCCGGTATCACGACTGGGCTGAAACTGCCATTGCTGCTCATGATCAGGCTTCCACTGGGACCCGAGTCTCGGAATTCGACGCTTCAACTTGTCGCAAAGCCGCCCAGGATAAATAAACAGTACTTTTACCAAAAGATCGCGCGAAATCTATGGGGGGATGACGGTCTCGCAGAAACCGGCAGAGAAGCGAGGCTATAAGCATTATGGTGGAGCTGGCGTCCGCCTGGGCTCTTTCTGTCTGTCAAACAAAAACTTCCTCGATCCGCAAACCTGTAGGCTGTAAAACTCCGACATCGTCATTGCTTCCAAAGCCGGTCATCAACCATCTCAGCGGTGGTCTATCGCGATGGTGAATTTCATGGATAGGTGCTCCGCATGAAGCTGCCCGAAGTCGCACAATGAGATCAACGGCACCCAGTGGAGCATGATTGCGTCTCTGGAACTTAGGAATAAATGAAGAAGGTACATGCCGTGTCATGTCCTTGAGGCTGGCCTCTTCTGTCGATTCATATTGTTTTGAAGAGCTGTGCACAGCTTTCTCGGCGGTACGTACCTTTTCCTGTAAGGATCATATTGCGATCGGTTCTGGGATATATTCAAGGGTGGAAGTGTTCCGACGAGGACCTCGATTGGGATCAATGGATATGAGCATGTTCAAACATGACAGCACACCCATGCGGTAAGAAGTAACATTACAATTGATACTACGCGTATATACGACGTTCAGCGTGTCTAAAACATTATGATCTCAATACTAGAGGCGTACCCAGAGATGATCATGCGTTTGATGTGGTTCAGATACATAGGTACAGGGACACTCGCCGTGGACCTCAAGATATCCTGACCACGCCTCACTTCTCAGTGCTGCATGGGCTCGGCCGTCCCCTTGCCCGTCTTGGCCAGCTCATTCCTACCAACCGTACCAAATCGGTGAGACCCAACGACAAACATAGATGCGAGTCTGACGCACCTCAACTGCACACTGAACTCATCCTCGATATCATCATCGTCCCAGTTATCCTCCCAAAGCTTGTCTCCGCCAGACTTGGCGGCACCAGGAGCAGCTCCTCCAAGGTGAGCGAGGTCGGTCTGCGAGTCGTCCCAGTCTATTCGATCATGGACAAACCATGAAATAGAATGATCAGCTTCGGTCCTTGAGCGAGTGACGTGAAGACGCACCTTGAACGGCGAACTCCTCGAACTCGTCATCTTCCTCTAGAACACCGAGATGGGGCTGCGCATCCTCCGTCTTTGTCTTCTCTGCAGTCTTTGCAGTGTCGGATGGCTTCGAAGAGGATGACATTGTAGTTATCGGTGGTGTGGGGAGAGCCAAGGGAGAACTGAAATTGGGCCGAACTTCGAATCCGAGCGCGTCGGGGACGCGACGCGTCAGTGTGTTACGTAAACTTCGCACTCGTGCCACTGTGGCGCTCCAGGGCGCTCCTTACTGTTCGACCGTCCACACCGTTCTCACTTCAAGCTTCACGCTGACCATGCTTTGTTTTTCTGGGTTACTCTTCGGTCCAGTTAACACCGTACACATTCATAACTTTGACTCATCGGAAGTGCCATGTATTCACTGATTTGTCGGCCGGCGTCAGCACTGGAAGCCGGTCAGTGCCAGAAAGTTGCTGGACCCTCCCAAATCGAAGCTCTGGAATGCCTGACCCTGCATTTTATCTTCGCCAGATAAATGGGCACACCTGTCATATCAACACGATAAACGATTTCAAGGTTCATCATACTAACTTTCCTCCTCTGCCTCCAAGATCCCCACACAGGTAACTGGCCCTCAAAGGCCATGGCACGTCACGAAATTCGCCGGCATGCGAAGCACGGACCAGAAGATCTCGTACAGTAAGCTGGCAGCCGTTTTGCAACTCTTTTTGGTTTGTATTTACGCCATCCATCAGATGGTGCCACGGCGCGCCTGGTATCATTCCCCTCTTCTCGACTCTCGTTCAGCTCCATGCAACCCCTTCATCCGCCCTCTCAGTCGCTCCAGACCTTCTTCACGCAGTCATTGACTCAATGTATAAAGCGTCGACTCTCGTCATGACTGCAGGCCTCCTGCGCAAGGGTCCAGGGCTATGCCACGGCGTCGCCGGAAATGCGAGCGCTCTCTTCTTTGCTGCAGACGCATCTTCTGCCTATCATTATTTCCGTATCAGGTCATCGTCAGCTGCCACCGGTGTTGATACAAAGGACTACGCCGCATTGGCTCGTGAATGCACCGCCGGCGCATTGAACCTTCTCAAACTCGACAAGACACCAAGACCACCGATCTTGACCTTAAGCTCCCAATCGATAATCTCGTACTCGAGCGTCGCGATGAGGGAACCTTTCGATGCTTGTTCTTGTCTTCTGGCCAACCCATGATATCGTGCGCTTTGTGATTCCAGAAGAGCTTTTCCGACATGGCGGTGCCATCCTTGGGGTCCGTTTTCGGCTTGTTTTCGAGCACGCCGAGGAGGTAGTGATTGTGATCCTTTGCAGGCTTGACACCCCACTTGTTGTGCTTGATACCGTAGAATGACCACATGAAGATGACGACAGCGAGGGTAACAGTGATGAACGGGATGGATAAAAGAAGCGCATACATCGTAGTGGCGACGACGGACTCTCCGCGAGGCTCGAGATACCAAGTGTAGTCCAAATCGTCGACGACAAGGTCCCAAGCCAGATGAGGTTTCGGAGGAGCGGACATGTTGAGGTAGTTGGACGCTGCAGTGTTGGGCGGCAGACGGTCGGGAACACCGTCCCTGTCGACATCACCGTAGTAGTACGAGTCGTAGGCGTAGACGTTGAGCTGGATGTACGTGGGCCACGTCGCCATGATTTCCAATTCCTAAGTACCATCGCCGGTGTGTTCCATAGTGGCATCAACACCCGAATCATAAGTACTCCAGTCTACGCGGTGGAAAAAAGGTCAGCCTTAGCACGAAAACAAGAGATGACGGGAGGCTGCGTACACTGCATGAGAATGTGCTGCCCGTCCCATAAAATGGATTCGTCCGAGAAGACGTCCGAGGCGATGTACGTCGTAGCCTCCCATTCCTTCCAGGACGTCCGGTTCTTGCCAAAGTTCAACGAGTACCTGAACATCTCAGCGCCTAGTGCTTTGTGCGTGAACTGGTACTGGCCATTCGAGTATGAGAACGCATCGTTATCGTAGTCTGCCTCGGTGAAGACCATGACGTTGTTCGCCAGACCCTTGCGAAGGAGGAGCGTGTCGACAGCCTCTACACAGCCAACGGTATAAGTAACACTGTTGAAGTAAGAAATACAGAGGAACGGTACGTACGCCAGACTTAGTACTGGCTTGACTCGTCGGGTTGTCGACGATGATTTGAAGGATACCGTCAGACATATCCTTGATGTTCGCGGTCCACGACCAGGCCGAAGGAGCGTCCCCAGAGAGCAAGGAGACAAGAGCGTTCGTCAGAGTGACACACGTGACAGTGTCGGTATCAATCGAAGGCGAGGTGCTGTTCCCAGAGGAAGACATTGGGAGAGACCGCGGCGGTGACGGTCGGGCAGTCCATCGGGGTATCAAACTCGAGCGAGACTTGGACGGTCGTCGACTTGGAAAGGATAAGATAATCGTGGCCAGGAGTGAATTTCGTCAAGGCAAGGAGAGGTGCCACCCAGACGTCTTGAGGGACGAGGACGTTGAAGCTGTAAGGGTCCATCGTGGTCGAGTCCAGACAACCGAAATAAGGCACTTGGTTGTCTTTATTGTACGAGGACAGCGAGCCTTGAAGAGTTCAGTTCCCGTAGGGATAGAACAGATTCCGGACGATGGTGTCGGCCTGGTATAGAGTAGAGATCAGGTTAGAGCTAGTGCAGTCATACGTCCAGGTTTTCGTGGTGTGCTCGTTGGTGTAGAGCATCCAAACTTCGTCGGGGTTGTTTCCGCTGAGGGTTTGCGAGGTAATATCCGAACGGGAGATCGACCAAAGACCTATCTCGGTCGCGGTACCGTTAGAACCGGGGCGCTCAATCTGATAAGCCCAGTTGCCCTGTTGCACGAGACCGAAACCATTTTGGAGAGCGCCGTAGACGAAGTGAAGGTAGAACATGTGAGCCATCATACGACGGCTGTTCATTATGGGATCGAAGTGGTCGAGAGAGTTCCAGTCGTCGAGGCAGCCGATGAGAGACTTGTCGAGCGCGATGTTGTAGTACTGCTCCGATCCGAGATGGTGACATCCATGACGCTGCCAGGCCTTATTACTGATCATGGCTTGACGGCTGTAAAAATTCGCAATGAGTGGAGGTTCGCGTATCAACTTCATGGAGCACTCACCCGTAGAGGTAATTCTGTGCGGTGGTATCGTATAAGTAGACGTTCTGCTCTTCACCATGGTAAATCTGCAGCACATACGTCAGCGAGAGCCAAGGTGTCAAGTATGGTTGGGTACGAACCAAAGATATGCCAGGCATGACTAGTGTGGTGATAAAAGTAGCAAAGGCAGCTTTTTGAGTCTCCAAACTCGACTAGCGGAACACATCGAAATCGCTGGTACCGAACATGTGTCTCGGGTCCACGTCGCCAGTGATGGCATTCAAGAAGTCATTGTCGACGAACATCTGGTTCCAAGAGGTAACGAAGTTGACGTCGATATCGTAAGCGTCGGCCAAATTGCCGTCCATTCCAAAGAAACGAGTGAGAGAGCGGTAGGTGGAGTAGTGGAAGGCGACGGCGTCAAGACCATTGTCGGACTCGTCCCGAAGGAAGCACTGGCTCTGGTTGGCGGTCAGGTTGGCGGCGATGTCGAAGTTACTGGGAAGCTGAGTCGGGGTCCTGCCTCTGCCACTGTAGATGCAAGTCAGAAAACATCACGGCTGAAAGAGAGACGAAAGACCTACTAGTACTATGAACCGAAGGTATCACCACCCGTAACTTCACCGGTGATGAAGAAGTTTTTCTTGCCAAGGTCGTAAGCACACTTCCTGGTCGCAGAGGCCCAGATAGCCAAAGCGTCGACGGTGGCCTGTGTGGACTTGTCGATAAGGATAACGCCAACGCCGAGCGCGGTGATAGTCAAGCACGAGAAAGTCGTGAGCTTGGCCATGACGGTGGGCTCCCATTCGCGCAGATAATCCTGCACGGAGGCGAACTTGGCGAGCTGACGTTGCCAATCAGGATGGACACCGAAAGTCCATATCACCGTACTGATCAAAGTCGGACTCGAGGCAGCCATTAGTCTCGACGGAGACGACAGTGACAGCGTGAGCGGCGTGACGAACACGACGAGTCAACTGACCGAGAAAGTCTTGTACCCATCAGAGCCCCATGGCATGAGATCGGGATGCTTCCAGACGGCTTCGTATTGAGATCGAAAGGAGTGGACCCGTTGAGGTAGCTGGAGAGAGAGCATCAGATGTGCGGGAAAGGGCAAGCGATGAATTGTTCTTACCCAGAGAAGCCAATCAAATCGGACATGGTACCGACTGTAAAGTCCGCCATAACGTACATTCCGCGGGCGTGGACCTCGGAGATCATTGCGTTGTAGTCGTCGATTGTGCCATAATGGGGATCGAGAACGGTGAAGTCGAGTGGAGAATAACCTGGAGGGGGAGGGGGTTGGGTGAGCAAAAGAAAGGTGAGAGACGAAGAGCACACGTACTGTCAGCCTGCCATAACATGTTCAAGAAGGGCGTTCCAGAGATGAATATTCCTCTGACCCCCATGCGGTATAGGTAGTCAAGCTTGGGTACCAAGCCAGCGAGATCACCGCCGGCGCGGAGCTGGGTCTCTCTCCAGTCCTACTCCCATGCGCAAGCTACTGTCCATACGCGGACCGCATCACCCTGTTCATTGTCATCTTCGTGATGAAGTTCCTGCTGCCGGGGTTGAAGATGATCGGCACGATGTCTTCGTATTGTTGGTGGTTGATCGGGTTCAGGGTGATGGGCTGCAAGCGAAAGTGTTAGCGTAAGTGTCAGAGTGTGCCTGCGACAGAGGACGGGACGGGACGGGAGAGGGAAGAACGTACCGTCCGGTGCAACTGCACGTCCATGCTCAAGAATTTATACAGCCCGTCGGGAGACTTGACATACTCGACCGCATAACCATCGAAACTGTACTTAGCGGGCTATATAACGAATCAAACAAACGGCACATCGTTCAAGTCAGCATCTTTGCCCATCGACCAGTCCAAAGTAGTGGAAGCAGTGGACATGAAGGAAAGGAAGGAGGGAAGCAGGGGGATCAAAGGGAAGGAAATTTCCCGTACCTCACGCGCCTTCCCCATCGCCCGAGTTGAGCCACATCGTGATCCTCACTTTCCTCCTGAACACTTCCGTCGAGTCTATAATGAGCTTGTTCATCAGCCTATAATCGTCGTGGCACTGGCATACGAGCGTCTACAATTGGATCCGCAATATGTCAGTCATGTGTCAATGCAGTCTGACCATCACCAAGGAACGAAAGAAGGGAGGGGAAAGAGTGAGGGGGGAGGAAGGGCCACACATACCCTCAGCTGCGCCCCACTAAAACACGCCTCGACGGCTCTCGCATATCTTCTATCTCGCGCCGTCAAGCTCACGGTCGCGGGCTTGAAGATCTCCATCTGGAATAAGTGCCGGTTGCGTCTGAGCCAGAACATCGTGTCCGCAGTCTTTGTCGAATTTAGAGAGCTCGAGCAGGCGCCAAGTAGCTTCGTCGTTTAGGTTTTGCAGGCTGTTGGGTGTGGGGGGATGGGATGGGGAGAGGTGATGTGAGTGAACGCGCTGATGATGTGGGTATGGGATGAGGAGTGGGGAGGCGGCGAGGCAGGGAGGGAAGGGTGGTGAAGCGAAGGAAGGAGATAAACGAGGAGGGCGGCACAGAAGGTGTCCGGAGACCGACGGACGGAAATATAGACTGAAAGAACAGCAAATCCTACAACCAAACACGGACACGTCGAAACAAAAGCAAGAAAAGCGGGAGTAGAAGAAACTGGTACGCGTAGATGACGACGGTGGCGGCGGGTGGGAGGCGGAATAGACGACGTTGGACGATGCAGGGGATTCGAGAATGGGAGGTTCTGTAGGGCTATATGGAATTGGCGGTTGTGCAGTGAACAGCGTCGCAGTGGATGCTGGCGACAGGATGGGTGAACTCAGAATACGAGTCGCATTCTGAGTTCGAGGAGATCGTTCCGGTAGCGACTCTTCCTGCGTAGGTCGCTCTGGTCCCTGAACGCCCTCTGACTCCCCACCCGCCAACGAGTCCTTCCTCCGTAACGGCTCGACCATAGCCAACGACTGTAGACTCCCCGCTTTCTTGATCTCCAGGGCCTTATCCCCGCGTCCGCCCACCTCCATAGTACCCCCGCCTCCTTCGCGTCGTCCTCCGGGATCGACACCATACTAACATCTCCCTCCACCTCTCGGCCATGCCCAACTTCTTCTGCCTCCGACTCATATTCGCTGTGTGGCGGCGGCGATTTCGTCGTGATCGGTTCGGCGACTGGATGTGAAGAAGCGGCCGTACTGAGGAGAAGCTCGAGGATTGCGAACTGTTTGTTGGTGGTGTAATAAGTTGGTGAGTTTACTTGATATGAGCGTTGACGCGAGGGGAGGGAATGGGGTGGGCGAGCGAGGGATCAATGGAGGAGGCGGGACATGAAAGGAGGTGGATATGTTGGGAGCTTGTGTGGAGGAAAAGAAAGTAAACGCACCTCATCTTCGATCCTCTTCCCCTCATTGAACCTATCCACCTCATTCTCGAGCTGTCTGTTCCGCTCCTCGAGCGTCTTCGGCTGGGCTCTGTCCGCGTCCAGGAACTATACCAACAGAAAACCACACCAACCCACAATGTCAGTACCTTCTTTCTCTCACAACGAACATACATAAAACAGAACGGGTAGAGGGCTAGAAAACAATCGCGAGCACAAAAAAGGAAGAAACGACCGACCTCCTGCATCTCCCTCGCTTCCTTCCCCGCATTGATCAACGTCTCGTGCCACGCGCTTACATAACCACTCGTCACCAGCCGCACGCTGCATTTCTCAAAAAAGCTGGCCGGCGTCATCTGCGCGAACTCGGAGACTTTGTCCTGAGGGAAGAACGGGCTATTAAATACCGAATGAAACACCGAGTGAGCACACAGCAGATAGAAAGGGAGATAAGGGAGCAGCAGAAATAAGAACGAATAACAACGCACCACAGATTCCCGACCTGGATATTCAACTCATTCATTCTCAGAATGACCTCCCTCCCCGTCGCACTCTGCCCGTTCGAGCTATATGTCGAGCTCTTGCTCGTGGGCTTGAGGATCCCCCGGATGTTTCTTGAACCAGGCGGAAGGACGCTCGTTGGTGAACAGAGGTGGGTACCGTGGATGAAGAAGCGCGTGCGAGTCGTGAGGCATGGTGTGAATCGCTCACGGGCAGGCCACGCTCATGGCATACCATCGATTGCCCACGCACAAGGCATAGGTACTTATAGCCCTCTGCCTGTGATTCCTATCCCCTTTCGCTTCGCTGCTAGCTCTGCCTCACTGCACTCGCCTCCACTTCTGTTGCATCCACATCCAAGTGCGCCATCTTTGCAGAATTTGTCTCGGGAGCAACGACCTCTAGTTCTGTCAGTAGAAATGTAAGTATTTCAGCCTCGAAGTAATCTAGTAGTAAGAACATACGAATGTAGCGGGCACCATGGGCTGGGAGGCTGCAGATTGTAGCTGACGGCGCCCCATCCATACCATAATACCATAAGACGGCGATATCGTCGTGCAAGCACAGAGCGAGAGGCCTTTCCGCAGGTAATATGGATGGAGGTTTGCATATGTCGAGCATTCTTGGGCTGGGCTGCAGATTGTAACTGACGGCGCACCGTCCATTCCACAATACCATAAGACGGCGATATCGTCGTGCAAGCACAGAGCGAGAGGCCTTTCCGCAGGTACTATGGATGGAGGTTTGCATATGTCGGGCATTCTTGTTTATTGTGGCTTTGCTGGCAGCAACAGTAACTCGGAATTGGCGGAGAGCAATGCTGACTCAGCAATTACAGCATCTGTTCCGGCTATGCGGCTCAACAAACATGAAAAGGATGCGAAGGAGCGCACCATACAAAGCTGCAAGTAGAATCACTGTCTTGCACCCTGTTAATACTCACATAGGACCATCACGACAGTTGCAGATTTTCTGGGGTGTCGGAATGTCATTACATTGCTGCAAAGTCCTGGCGGGGAGCTTGCTGCCATGGAACCAGATGCGGTAGGAATACTTCTAGTGGAAGCACACAATTACGGGCTGGAAAACCTGACGGTAGGATATTCAAGAACCTCCGGTTATTCAGTTGTGTCTCATGTCTCACTTCTCTATTTCAGTATGACGCCTTGATCTCAAAGATTCTTCGTGAGGGGGGCCGGATCGGGAAGGAAGATGCTGAGATTGCTGCTGCTGTGGATAAATTCCAGAAGCAGCGTGATCTCCTCCGTACATTTGCTACTCACGCTGAAAAGCGAACATGGGTATGTTCCGATTTGCTTATGTGACGTTCGGAACATATTGACTCCTATAATCATGATTAAAATGCAGGCTCTCAAGGTAGGGCTGTTCGTACCCCATGATGAGAGGCCTCCTTTCCACCAATGGCTCGACCGCACTGGTATTAAAGTTGTGGTGCGGCCACCGTCCACCGAAGGCCTCCCAGCGAGGAGGACAGTTCTGTACGAGTACGAACCGCTGTCAGATCCTGAAACCCCTTACATTGTGGTCGACGAAGCCCATGGATTCTACATCGTGACAGAAGAAGAGTCGGTGTGCTTCGTTTACGAACATACCATGAAGAGTACGGGCATATCTACATATCATCCTGGCTTGGTTGTTTACACAAGTTGCTCATGTCACAGACGGAGACATAGTCTTGCGACCCTTACTCATCATTGTCCGTAATTTTGGGCGGGTTTCAGAAGAAACCAATGTACCGGCTGTTCAATTTTATACGTTCATGGATGCAGTTATCGAGACGGCATGCAATGGCGAACGTCGTGGAGTCCGAGTAAGTCCTTCCTCGAATTCTCTGTTAAAATCTAAAATTTATGAGTTGAGAAGCCATCTGAGCCTGGTTTGATGGCACAGTTTGGGTATAATGCAGGTCCGCGTCATGCGCGAGTGTGGGGATTGGCAAAAAGTTTCAGCAAGAAGCTTCCTCAAGATGTTAAGGAGCAGCGGGATCGAGATGCAGTGGCTGTATTGTCGATGGTGTGGGCGATGATACGCACTCACATGCCCCGCGAGGGTGTTGATGCATTGGAGGATGTACTGGACGCAACAGGTATGCCACGCATGTCTACACGGAACATCGAGGAAGGTGAGTATATGTTGACTACATCACATTTCTCTCCGCTTATCGCCGAGCAGGGGACGGCTACGAGTTCGAAATTGACGGACAAACATTCTCATTTCCGGTGGCATCTCGTGCGCCACCTGAAGGATACCTCATACAAGCATACTCAGCGTATGTGTGCCACTATGTTCTCTTCGTACGACGCTAACTATATCTACAGGCGGTCGCACTATGACGGTATTGACGATGATGTGCCGAATGCATGGTCCCTCCATAGTTCTGTCTGCGACATTATTCCATCGGAAGCTGCAACACCCTCAGCTACATCGGCTGCAGAACCTGCATTCCGCATCTCGACCCGCTCACAAAGACGCCGGCTGCAAGAGTTGGGCTCCCAGCAAAAATCACCCAATCCTCCGGCTCCAATAGTATCCCGCCCGCTCTGTTATGGAGGTAGCTTTGTGGACCTGGAGCTGCGTGTGGTGGTGAGGCCTGCACCAGCTACCGGTACCCAGTTCGACCCTCGTCGAATGCATGGTTCGACAAGGCTCGTTAATAGAATAACTCGGGCATGTGCTTTCACATCTTCTACCTTTATCCGACAGGCATTTGAGAAGGCGCAGGCAGGATATGGTGTAATGAGGGCACAGAAGGGAACAGGGGCAAACACAGAGTGAATGTCATCCTCGCCATGTTATTAGTACGAATATTTTGCTATCAATCATGATGTTATTTACCGAATGTATGAGAACGGATGAGGGATCGGAAACAACGGAAGGGTCGGACTAGTTGTCGCTCAGTCCCCGTGGTCCTACTCGTCCCACCCAGGAAGAAGCAGCCTCTCGTTGGTCATCATTCGCCCGTTCAGAGTCCAAAATTTTATCTTCCAGCAGCCCTTCCCAGTCAACACCATATACTTCGTGCTCCTCAGGACTCAACGTGTGGTCCTCTATCGTATCTCCACGAAGACCGTAAACTGCCATGTCAAAACCAAACAGATCGGCAGGGGAGCGATAGGTCCTCCGCGGGTCTGAAGCTTAGGCTCGTCCCAACTCTCGGAGAAAAACTGCAGCTCAGCGTTGATACGCGGAAGAAAAAGTGCATGCAGGAGCCAGAGACCAAAAGCTGGCTCACCTTGCTCGGACACTAACTCACCTTGCTCGGACACTAACTCACCTTGCTCGGACACTAACTCACCTTGCTCGGATTCTAGCTCACCTTGAACAAATTCGTGGCTCTTTGTGTGTACGAACTTGATGTGGCGTGCCAATCGGGTTTTGAGTAGCATGTTGAGGGTTCGGTCATAGATGATCTCGCGGACTTCGGACCCGGTTATGCGGAGTACGATCTGGTTTATTTGCCGAAAAATAAATTTATAGCTGCGAACCACTACTACTCACTAGCCTTCTTCATTGTCGGATATAGAGCAACGGGCAGCATCGTCGCCTTGAATGGGCCACACGGTTATGGTCGCGGTTCAATTCATCGTATCCGAATTTTCGGCCTAGTCATGTGCTATCATTTTATCAGCGTTATATCCTTTCAATGAACAGCTCCCCATGGAATCATATACCATCTCCTCAACGAGTCTGAAACGAAAGCCTCGGGAGTGGTGTTCCCAGGCGAGATATCTCAATCATGAGCCACATCGATTCTGATGTGGCACGAGTATGTTAGGTCACAAAAGATCCACATACTCACATCAAATCCCTTCCAACCCTCCTATGCTGCGCACCTTCCATCCTACTCAACATCTAACCACCCCAACCCCGCTACCTCCGCCGCACTCAACCTCTCCTCCGGGTCCCACCTCAACATAGTCCCCATAAACTCCAAAAATCCCGCTTCACCACCATGTTCCGGGTCGATCGCGTCCAGATCGAGGTCGATGAGGGAGGAAAGGGAACATGCCGCAGGGAGGAGGCCCGAACGGAGGATGGAAGCTGCAATTTCGTGAAAATAATGACCGACGAAGACAATGACAGAAGATCAGCATCAGTTGATCCGAAGAAACGGGTGAAAGCGGAGAGAACTGACTGCCAGGCCTGAACACTTCCGCGCTTTCCTTCTCTCCTGCCCTGTTTAGGAAGGTCTCTGGCGGGGATCCCATGACAGCGACCATCTCTGCTACATGGCCTTCATGCGTGTAGCCTGACGAACCGGGAAGACGGCCATAGAAGAGTGGACGGCGATTGATGAGACGCCAGATCTAGTTGAAAGGAGCGAGGGAGCCCAGCGAGGGATGGTGGGAGAAAGAGGAGTTAGCACAAGATGATGGCCAAATAATTGAAGACGAGCATTGTCGAAGGCATCTCGCACGGCAGGAACTCTCTCGAGTGCCACATAACTCAACAAACGCGCAAAGCGCTAGACCGGCTTCGAATTTAAAAGAAAGAACTAGTCAGACTCACCACACATCCCATCCCCCAAACATCCGCCTTCGCATCCCATCCCGCACCCAAAATGACCTCCGGCGCCCTCCACACATCCCTCTGAATCAACCCCTTCCATTTATCTTCCCCGCCGCTCGGTGACCTAATAGTCCACCCGTCCCCTAAGACAGGATCGACACCCTCCACCGCATCATCCACGTTCTCATCTTCCCACATCCTCCGTCCCGCTCTCGCCACCGCCAAATCACACTCCACCTTCGCACTATCCAGCCACACCGTCTTTTCCAACCCACCTAAAGTAGGCGCCCCGAGCTCCTCGACTTTCGGTACGAATTCCCTCGATTCGAAGATCCTAAATCCTAGGTGTTCCGGTGTTTCACGTGCGGGTTTCCGTGCGGATGGGTTCGTGCGTTCGAGTGTTGCGAGGTTTGATAGAGAAGCGGGGGAGATGAGGTCTGTGAGGAGAGAAGTGGGGTGGATGTCTGGACCGAAAGAGACGGGAAGGGAGAAGAGTGTTAGTGCCATATGTTACGCGCCACAGTACGCTCGGAACGAACACAGGGGGCCAAACCACACAAACACTGCGCGTAGAAACTGAATGAAAGACGAGAAGCTCACCAGTGTGCACCCCACCAACACTATGCAGGCCATCCAACGCGATCAAACTCCACCTGATCATCGTCTTTAGATACTTCAACCACTCTCGTGTCGGCACCTCCCCCAATACTTCTTCCAATTTCTGGACTTGGAGCCCGATGGGCGGGTAAGCGAGACAAGTATGGGCACCGAGGGACGTGGAGATCGTAAACCGAGCCTGTGGGAGGCGGAGGAGGAAGAGGCCTGGATGAGGCTCGGCTTGTGTCTCTGATGATCGTGCACCGTCTCTGATGGTTTCTTGTGTTATGGAAGGAGAATCCGGCGTAGAAGGTGTGCTTAATGCGGAGGTCGAAGCGGTGGTGGAGGCAGTGGAAGAAGAGATGAGGTCCGCTAGGGCCCATTGATGCGCTGCATATGCAGTCGATGCGGGGTCGTTCGCGAATATTTTGAGAAATGTGTACTCTTCTATGCCGGACTCCTTGGACTCGCCCGACTGGCTTCACCACACAATACAGCCACAAAGAAAAGTCAGTCGAAATGGATTCCTTTTTCGACCACTATACCACCATAGAGATAACTGGAGAATCAGCACAAAAAAAATGAGCGTACCGGGTCAGATCCAGATCTTTTGCCAGCCATTCCGTCCAGTACTCTCCGTACCCTAACTTACACACCAACTCGTACTTGTCGCCCAGGACTTTCCCGACCTCAGCAGCTGGATAAAAGCGCATTACGTCGTACGTAGGCAGCGTTTCTTCTTCGAGACGGACACCTGGAGGTATTGTTTTGGTGGGTTGTGCTTGTGGTTCACGTTCCAAGGCATGTTCCTCGGCTACAGCATCGAGTTCAGAATCAGCATCGGGTGTAGACGAAGGAATATGATAGGTATTTGAGTTGGGAAAAATGCGAGAAACCTTGAGAGGATACATGGCGGGTAAAAGAGCGGCATGAGTACACTGGCACCTTATTGACAGAATGCGAGCTTGACGAAGAAGTGGAAAGCGAGAGCAACGGTGGTGGCACTGGGATGAGGGAAGACGTCGAGTGAGGACGAGAGGTCGGTAAAAGTACGCGGCGACGAATCGCACGGGCTACTATGCTGGAACGAACAGCCATAGCTTAGGTAGAAATTCTCCCGTATACCAATAGCTCGGAGCACTCTGTTGCTTTATGGCGAGAACGCCGTCGGTGGTTGAGTTTGCCAGTGAGTTAGCGGAGGTCGGCGAGACATGGAAATTCGCACTCCGCGCTGCAGTGGCGCAACATAGTTCGTATGCGCCACACTGCTCTCGATGGTTTTCGCGCTTGTTCTACCCCGCATACAACTCGGAGACAAAAAAGCAGTTTTAGAAAATCCATATTTTTGCTCGACTCGCGTACTGTCAATACATATCAAAAGAGATCCAGACCGTATCTTTCGGGAATCGGAATAAGGAATCTAATCAACAAAAAAACAAAGCGAGATGCCGCAAACGCAGTAACCCATGACAGGAAGCACTATTAAGTATGCATAAAATAAGCCTATATCCATGGCGCAGTAACATGAAATTTTCATTAGGTCAGATAGAACCCAGTAAAGTTCAAGACAGAGCGAGCTGGACTCGGATGTGCTGCCCGCGCCACCACAACGGGATCAACAAATTGGTAAACTTTCACTTGAGGCTGATGAGCTACGATTTATTTACACTCCTCTTATCCAGAAGGATGAGGGTATGAACAGGTTGAATTTCAAATCTGACGTTGCATTTTTCGACATGATTCCGTCGTGTCAGCCCGGAGTCTAGTCCTCCGAGACTATTCGTCGTTGCCCTGTCAATGATATTATGCTCGTAGATACCGGATGGAGCCACGAGAAGTCTTCATCTGTTCGAAACTATGAAAATAGCATAGCGTACAGACTTATCATGAGCTTACAAGCCTCTGATGGATCAGGACAGCGAGGTCACAAGCAGCAAGGGGCTTAAGAGTGAGCAATCAACGCATGCGTCAGAGGCGCTCGTACAAGGTCAGATGATGAGATCCAGCATCCATAGAAGCGTCCCTTTGAGGAGACAATCACCTTTTTGAAGAGCGATAGCGACATCGCCTTTCTTGTCTTGTTCAGGGGAAAGATGGTGGTTCTCATTAGGTACTTCCAGGATGACCAACGTCTCCAAGTGTGCGAGGTTCTTTCCGTCAGGATATGAACTCGCGCAACAAGAGACAGCACAGCTGAGATCATAGCATGTTGCGTGATCATGGTTGGTTGTTGTACAAATTGTATTGGCTTGTGTGAAAATCAAAATATAATGCAGGCGTACAGCGTTCACTGGTATCATCGTTGGTGGGCGTGTCATGGGAAGAAAGCGGAACGGTCAGATGTCCATATACGATATCTCGGTCTTCTATCATGTTGGGTAGCAAGTACATTCAAGGCTGGGGGTTGCGAATCGACTGGAGCTTGGCGAGCTCAGTGCCGTTCCAGACGCCGATAGCGACGATGTCCGCGCCAAGGTTCATGAAGTCAACTGTTCATTGGTCCGATGGTCAATTGGCGCGCGAGAAGAGCCAGAGAAAAGAATTGTTAGTTAGATCAGGCCGGAAACTTATCAGAGGCAATAGTGACAAATGAAACGAGATGAGGAGGAAAGAACACGTACAGCCCTGTTCGAACCTCTTCTGAACCTGGTCTGCCGCCGTACAGAACATACCCGCATACTTGCCCGCGTCGTGGGCGGCCTTGAGTACCCGTTCAATAGCGGACTGAACTTCGGGAATGTTTGGGTGCTCGAGTGCAGGGAAGCCCATCGATGAACATAGGTCGTTTGGCCCAACGAAGAGCATATCTAACCAGGAAACCGCCCAAAAATATCACATGTCAGCAAAACGCCTTGCATCAAAGACCACCAAGCGCCACCGCCACCAAACCAATGTGACGATCTCGACAGCTCGGAGGCACAGGAACAGGGACTTACCAATTCCCTCCACCTTCGCAATCTCCTCGCAGTTCTCCAAACCCTCAACTGTCTCGATCTGAACGGCGATAAATACGTTCTTGTTCGCCTTCTTCAGGTAGTCGCCCATGCCCATATTCCAGGCAGCGGGTGCGAATGGCGATCCTGCACCACGAACGCCTGGGAGGGAGTCGCCAACCAGAGAAGAGCCGACAGCAGGAGGGAATTTGGCATATGAGACCAGAGCACGAGCTTGTGCTGGGGTGGACATCATGGGGCATAAGAGGCCATGGGCTGCAAGTGAAACAAGTACGAAAAGACAGCCGTCGTCAGTGTTCCACAGGTAGATAACGGAGGGTTCGCTGAACGGTAGTGAACTAGGGAAGTGTATGGGGTACTTGGAAACATACCTCCCGTATCGAGTGCGCGCTTGACAAGCCAGTTCTCAGGGGCTGGGATGCGGATGATGGGAGAGCATCCTTGGGCCGCTATTGCTGCTGCCGAGGCATGCATAGCAGAGTCAGAAATATCGCCATGTTCGCAATCAATGAGCACGAACTACAGTCCACACACCCACATAAATTGTGTTAGTACCAGTCGACGATAGGAGAGGAAGAGGGCGTACGTCGAAACCCATCTGCGCGAGCATCCTCGCGAGGTTAGCACCGGGCAACATAAGCCATGATCCAACGATAGGTTTCCTGGGCTCTCTCGTCGACTCGTAGAGCTTCTTATGCAGCCCGAGGAGGTCCTCACTCGAGGAGGCGTTTGCGGGGTTGAGAGATGGGTAAGACATAGCAGAGGGGGAGTACGAAGAGCGCTACAGAGACAGGTATTGCAGAATGCTGGCGGAAAAACTCAGAGAGCTTGGTGGATGGCGAGATAGCAGAGACTGAGAAGCCGATAGGACTGCTGAGAAGGCGGGAGAGGTGAGAAGAAAATGTTCAAAACCGGACATCGTTGGCTTGTGGACGCGCATTTTGAAGGAGAAGCCTCCCGTGGACGGAAGCTGGAAGGATCTGACCCGTCCGAGCCCGAGAGCCGCCAGCATCCCTTTTTTCCAAAGGCGCGCGGCGGGGAGAAACGGGATCTGAGCTACCGCTCGCAAGCAACTCGCAAGAGGCAGAAGCAAAGTCGTTTGGAGCATTTGCCATGGCGCTGCCGTACAGGAGATTGTGGGGAAGTGGCATTGTCCCCCAAAGCTCGCTTGTATCCGGTTCACACCCGCGCCACAACAGGGTTAGGCAAGTAGTTTGTTCTTGGGCCACATGTGCAGGCGAATCCCGGAGAACAACGGTCGTGAAGGCATGTTGCTTACTGTAAGCAATTATCGGCAAGCCTTGGTCAAGTTTTCAGTGAGGATGACCTATTATCAGAATAGCTTTCGCACTTGGATAAGTCGATAGTACGCTAACTACGGCCGTTGGTGGTTCGAGCATGTGAAAGTGTAGGAAACCATCTACAAAGCGATTATTACATTTACAGTCACACGGAGCTTGAAGCACAACAACGATAGCAGATAGCAAGAGATAGCAGAGAAAACAGCATACAGACATCGTACAATGAGCACATACATGAAACAAGAAAACAAATACAGGAATCGCGATGGTGTACGGTGAATATCCCAAAAATAATGAGCATGTGTATCTCCGGCGCGTGTTCTAGAGAGACGCGGGAGCTCCGAGTGTAGAATACAGGGTTTGTCAGAGCATCAAAAATGAATCGAACAGGAAGAAAAAGAACACAAGCATACTCCCTCCCCACTGTCGTGGCAGATGGACATCCACTCTCACCGTCTCAATTGTCCTCATCCCCAGGCTGGATCAGACCATCACTAGAGGAGAAGGTGTGCACCCTTTCTTCTCTTGAGACGGTCCGAAATCGAATACATAATTTTCGGATCTCCTCCCACAAGCATACTAAGCGATCAGGGTAGCAGCCACCCCAGTTATCCCGCTCATTTGGCGCCAGTCCACCAATCCCGAAAAACAACGCCGGGCTGGTCGAAGGCTTTATTCAGTTGCCGAAGCGAAATTTGGTGGAGGGGGGTTGAAAGGGCGGCTGTGATGCGTCAACAGAAGGCTCGGAAGTCCCGTTCGACGTATTGCCAGCGGTGAAAGGCTGGGCATCTTGAGGCAAAGAGGTAGTAGTATTGTTGGTGGAGGAAGTGAAGGACGCTCCTTCCGAAGCTGCGCTACTGGATGTAGAAGTGACTTGGTCTTGGTGATTCCCAAAGGTCGAGAAGGGCTGTTTCTGGGAAGCTGGGTATTTTGCATCAACGGAAGGCGTGGTGGTGCCGCCGGACGTATATTTACCGAACTGGAAAATCTGAGGCGAATGACCGGTCCCAAGCTTGAATGCGGAAGCAGAAGTGGAGGTGGAAGAAGTCCTGCTCGAAGCTGTGGTGATCGGAGTAAAAGTAGTGGCTTCGTAACTCCGAGTTCCAGGTGACGAGAAAGGGTTCGAGGGAAGGTTCGGTGGAGGCACGAACGCTGTCGCGCCACCATCGAACTGTGTAGAAGAACCTGTGTTATCGCCCGAAGAAGGATGGGTGCCGAGAAATGCGTACGCCTCTGAATGAGTGGTGGAAGTACCGGTATTCAACTTGTCGGACAGAATCGAAGGACTGCACGAAGGATTATTTGAGAAAGTCAACGGACTGTTGTTTGTCCTGGGCGGGTCGAAAGTTGGAGTGCCTTCCGTCCCGTTCGTCGAAACTTGAGTAGGAGTTGTCGAAGCCCGCGAGGTATCAGGATGTTCAAAGGTCGAGTCTCGCGATTCGGGTGGTGCATCATTTGTAGGTGGCACAAAGCTCGCGGTGGTAGCCATGCCAGAGGATGGGCCAGACAGCCCATTTGTCTCGTTCGTTCTGGAAGAAGGTGAGGCTTGGACAGAAGGGGTTCCAAAGGGCGAGAATTTGAGTGCAAAAGGCGACGCGCTCCCATTCACAGGTGGTCGGAAGGCGAATTTCCCACCGGTCTGAGTGGCGAACGTCATTTTTGGCCAGGTCGTTTTGGTGAACGTCGAAGCCGGAGAGCCACCATCTCCGGATGGTGGAGAAGGTCCTGACGTGGATCGAGCAAAGACAGACGGCGAACCGCTGTTCCCATTCGTGGTATTTGCCCCAAACAGATTTAGTACTTGGGGCCCAGAACTCTTGAAGGAAGCTGAAGATCGGGAGGAGGGTGCTGACCAGGGGTTTGACGTCGGAGTATCGTGAGATTGGACAGGGGTAAAGGGAGCGCTCGTGCCCGTGGAAGTAGTCGATGTTCCGTTTTCTGTGTTCGATGCAGGCGGAGTCGAAGACGAAGACTGTAACGAGTCGTCGAATACATCCGCGCTCCCGGGATGTCGGGCATACGCTGTGTATAGGTCCGTGGAAGAGTCGGCCGTCGACGCATCTTCTGTCAATGAAGACGAGGACGAGGGATTCGGCGCCTGGTGCATGGTATACGCAGGACCGGTGCTAGGTGCTGAGGTTGTGGAATTGTCCGAATTGACGAACGACGAAGCGTGCGACGAACTCGCGTTGTCGTTTTCAAACACGCCGGTGGTCCCTTGACCCGTCGTTCCCGCACTCACAGACTTCCTACTCGGAATCTTGATAGTACCCAACTTTTGGCCCTTTCTCTTTTCCTCCTCCCTCTCCCTCCTCTCCCTCTCCTTCCTCTCTCCCATCTCCTTTCTGGTCTCAAACCTCGGTCTTCTCTCCACATCCACCTTCAAAAAATCCCACCACCAATGGAATGATGTTGGGTTATAAAATGTCACCTCTCCCTCCTCATACATCCTCAGCAGCACATCTCTAACCACGCTTAACTCCGCATACGTCTCCTGATGCAGGCTATGCACCGTCAGATTTTCGCTCCTGTAACCAGGTCTTATCTGGGAATCAGCATAGACGAAGAGGGACATGACTTTTTCGCGGGTGGGGTGGTCGCGTCTGAGTTTTTTGAGTTTGCCGAGTTCGTCGGTAGCGCTGATCCCTTTGGCTGAAGACCAAGTTTCGAATGCAGTCGTCATCGCCTTGCTGCTGATATGCATGACGGTACTGGTCTTCGTACTCCCTTCAATCCACGACCATTTCGCAACAGGAAAGAATAGAAGTGTCAGTGCAAACACTTTCACCACCCTCCACGTCCTGAAGGTGGAAAAACGGAACATAACGCACCACCACGCTGCACTCCCACCTCCATCTCCAGACATGGCATTTTCACGATAGGCCACTCCTCCGCCCACTTCTCAATTCCGGGATTCCCACCCGGCACTTTGACCGCGTTCGTCATATTTGGGTTGAATGCCAGAGCCCTATCTTTTTCGGGGTCCAGTCGCAGATGGTCGTAGAAGGCCTTATGTACCCCGGTGTATTTGAAACCTAAAAGTGGATGCCAGAACCTGAAGAATTCTTGGAGGCCTTGTAGAGAAACCCAGTCTGTCAGAGTAGATCCAATGTCCGGGTTCAGGTCAACCAAGTATTATCAGCCATGAGCGGGAGGAGGCATTACATCAGTCACCAGGAGAAAGATTACCGAAGGTGGAACATCGGACGTACCCTCGCCAAAATCTTTCGACTGCAAGTTGATGAGAGGGAGAAACTCCTTTACCGCCTCGATGGGAACGCGTATATCTCCCTTCCAAACCTGAAGGAACTTGAGAAACGAACGCTGCGACATGCATTCTTTATCGGTCAAGAGGCCTAGATATGATTGGGTGGATCAATGTTAGCGCTAGCAAGAGTCTGGGTAGGTGTATGATATGTATGTATTAGATGACGCACCAGATCTGAACTTCATGTACGAGCCTTCCTTCCACCACTTATCGCAAACTCCCTGCCAAACTTTTGCATCTACATGCATAGAGTCAAAGCATTCCCCGAGATCTAATCAGAAACAGATCCGCACCCGCACAATTGAAGCAAGCAGAAGAATTCGAACTCACTAACGAAGCTCCCTACATCCGCTTCCGCAGTCCACTTCTTCTTCTCATCCCCAACACTAACAACAAGTCGTACGCCATCAGGATCAACGCCTCCGAATCCGACTCCTGTGAGGCACTTCGCCTCGAATCGACGTTCCTTGTCCTTGTCCAGTAAGTAAACGGTGGGGCAACCGGTCGCAATGGTACGCCAGCCATGACGGGATGATTTGGTAGAGGAGGACGTTCGGTATAATGGTTGGTATTCGACCACGTGAAGACCACTGGATTCTGGATTGATCTCGGTGGAGTCATCATCTTCAACGTTGGTCGTATCTACGCGGGGCACTTCTTGGTCGGGCGTAATTTTCGGTCCAGAATCCTCGGCGCGAGCATATTCATCAAGCTCAGATGATGAGGCCTCAACTTTGACTTCGACAGGTGGCGTCTGCCGCTCTAAGTCTGTGTCGACAGAACACATATATGCATACACTTCCATATCGTCCATGAGCCTGTTCGTCTTGAATGAATTGCCCAACAGTCCATCGAACATGACAGACTCTGTGAGTTCCTGGCCCACAGGTTCACTCGGGGGTTCCTCGGTGACAGTGGCGGCCACAGGCCCCTCAGGATCATGGTCATGTTTGATGTTGGTTCCCGTGTGCAGTCGACGCTTGGATCGCAAGCAAACCTAGACATAACATATAACACAAATAAATGAGAAAGATTCGAACAAGAAAAGACAAGGACACCCACCGTCGCAAGGAGCCACATGACGATGATATCGAGAAGGAGCGCCACACCGAGCAGCGCTCCATACCTTCCCTTCCACAAAGACTCCACTATACCCCGCGGAAGTACAGGGATAGGCTCGAATCCCTCGTGATATACGTATCCAGAGTCGTTGAAAGGTTGTCCTACTGAACCCGGAGGAGTGATCAAGTCGATGAAGATGAGGTTATAAGTGCTCGGTGGCGGTGGCGGTGAGAGCGTTGTAAATGGAAGCCAGCCTGCAGATGATAGAGTCGCAAGAGGGAGATGTGTGATGAGAGACGGTGTGTTCTTGAGAAGGTCTATGGTTTGATGAAGGGCAGGTGCGAGGAATGGGCCTGCGGTAAAGCAGAAGAGCACGACGTGGAAGAGAAGGCCTGCTAGGACCATGATAATAACGATGATAATTCTTCACTGACGAATAAACTGTGGTAGAATGGTTCGGCGTTAGTGAGTTGAAGAAAGCAGGGAGGAGGAGAAGGGACGTACTTTTATATGCTGGGATCGGACGGTGGCGGTGCGTCAAAGCAAGGCATAATGGTGTCCTAATCCGGCACAATAAGACAAAGGCCAGCCCGTTCGCATGCTGGAGAACAGCTTGCTTTGAGCTTCACGCGGCAAACCGGTCATCATGCACAGAGTAGCGCTGTACAAACGAATCATCTTGCAAAAAGTGCCGGTTCGAGCTGATTCGTGTCTGAGGGCTGTAAGCGGATCTGAGTGGCGTGTAATCATCATCATAATGGTATTTAACTGGGAGAAGCAGGAGGCTGTGCGTCATCTGGCCATAATCGTCCGTCAAAAAGCAGAACAAAGATCCAGATGACTGGAAAAGCGAAAGGAGAGTTCTAGAATGTGCCGACTTCGACGAGAGCATGGATTGAAGATTCACACCGTCATGCAGGAGGTCCAGCTACATATCGGAAGTCTTATGATTATCGGGCGGCACATTTTCGTGCCGAAAAAGACCGTACGTCTCCAAAATCTGTATCTCGTCTAGGTCAGCGACGAGCATAAGTGGCAAGCAGACGGAGCACATACAAGTACGGATCAGGAGCTGTGGCGACGAGGATGGTTTCGGGCGCGGACGTCAGGGTTAGGGTTAGAACTTCAACTTTGTGTGGCACGCAAATTATCCAGCTCCGTTTTTTTGAATCTGCACCAAAACACTGAACTCGAATCCTGGATGGCTCTAATAAAAGTACCGGAGAAGCACATATCAAAACCAGGGTGGACTTTAGACCCCAGACACTCGACAACGAATACCATGTTTCTTCGCTACGATGCCAAACAACTGTGGCACCTCATGAGAAGGAAGGACGAGGGTAGCTAGTTGGAGTTTGTAACCTTCGAATCGAGGAGACGTTAACGCTAATATTGCAGCCGTTCCAAAATCACGAAGATTCGACAAGATAGCAGGAAGTGAATTTGCCCAGCGAGGGTATAAGCAACGTCATACAGAATACATTACATCAAGACAGATGGGTCCGCAGCGGGCACAAGATAAAGAGAATCATTCGAAGGTACAGCTCTCCTCCTAGGCGAGCATCATCGTTGAAATAAGGCTAGATCTCCAAGCACGAAGATCGCGAGCACAAGCGCCCGACGTGCATCCTCCTCAGTTCACCCGACTCCCCTGGTCGGCGCTCACCAATCCTCGATTTCATCATCTTCCAACCACCCATTCTGCACCTCTGCAGCACCACCATCCCCGTCATCATCCACCTCCACGGCCGTCCCACTCTCCGGCATCTCCCTCTCCATCTCATCCATAGCCCCTCCCGCCTCGTCGTCGCCTTCTTCCAGCGTCACCGCCATAGAGGAGGATGCGTGCCTCGACCAGGGAAGGGAGGAGAACAACGCGTGATTTGTTGGCGGAAGACGATGAGGGTGAGAGGGACGGTTACTCAGCGCTTTCAATACGCCCGGGAGCTCGAGCACGATAGAATGTCTCGACCAAAGGGACGCAGGCTGAATCGTACTGTCTCCTCCCTCTCCCTCTCCCCCCGTTCCACTATTCCATCTTGCACCAGACGCAGACCCTGTCCCGGAACGCATGACCAACCACCCCCGAACACTTTCCACGCCGTCCTCGTCCGCCGTCCTCGTCTGCCGCAGATTCTCGAAAAACTCAGGTTTGTGCATTTTCTGGTTTTTGCGCGGGACGGGGGAGGGGAGGGCGTGGAGTGTCGAGAGGGTGGAGATGTGGAATGTGTACGGGTTGGATTGATACCACTTTGGGTCGTCAGATAGGTCGTTTGTCATCGTGTAGGATTCGTGAATGGCATCGGTCAAAACGAGAAATAATGAAGAGGGAATAAAGTCAGCAAGCATAGAGACCCACAGGAGAAGAAGAAACGCGCTTGCACTTACGTTCTCCCCTCCACTCGCATCCACCCAGCTCAGTCCATCCACGAGGCGCTCGCACTGCTCGATCTCCTCGCAGAACTGGCTGTAGTTCTGGTGGATGTAGAGGTTGTACAGCGAGGCGTCGATGGGCGTCGATGCGTATAGGAGCTGTTTTTGATGTTGTAGTATCAATGGCGAGTTTGTAGCAGGTTCAGGTTCCAGGGGAGCGATTGAGAGTCGGACAGCGATTTGGCGCGATGAGATGTGGCGTGGCGTGGCGTTATGTATTCCGAAGCGTAAGATAGAGGAGTAGACGACCGGTGGACCATTCAAGTCGACGATTCGCAGTTCAAACAAAACAAGTGGGAAGAACGCGGGCAAAGAAGAAAACAGTTGATCAGCATCTCGTTTGTTCCTCATTCAACGAACCCTCGACACACCCCCACCTCCCAAGACCTCGCCTCACCTCGCCTCGCCGACAAAAGGAAATCCAAAAAAAAGACCCACATCAACATCAACCCGACTCGTCCTCCTCTCTTCTCCCCTCGCTCCTCCTCCCACTCCCGATCCTCCATACCCACTGGAACTACCACCCCCATCGCCCCTCAACCACCCCGGCAACTCCGGCGGATCGCGTAACGTCGCGTCGAGCGCCTTCTCCGCCGCTTTGTCGCGTGCGGTGGCGTGTGAGGAGGGCGGGTCATTTTTTCCTGTTTATGTTTGTACAAGCCGGGGAGGGGGTGGAAGGTTGTGTTAGCGTGTGTGGATATAAATGTGGGCGAGGAAGAGATGAGGCGGAGGAAGAAGAGCAGGTAAAAGAGAGGAACGAATGAAAGTATGAGAAGGGCGAAGAATATAGCGGGCGAGCACGCGTATAAACAAAGCGCAGGGTCGAGCCCTCCTTTTCTTTTGACGCACGAGAAAATCAGAGGTTTCCATGAGCGGAACGGATGGAGGCTGAATTAATAACTCAAACCCAGAGCAACAGAAGGGGCATATGAATGATGAAGGAGTTGCACAATGTGCTGTCGCAAACATTCTGCACGCTGCTCAGCATCGAAACGGCTGCGTTGAGACGCTTGCCAGTCCCGATACCAAGCAACACTGTTCGTTCGGTAGGACGCGCTCGCTTAAGCCTGAACACGTATCAAAACAGAATCCCAACGAACGCGCGGCGAGGAAGAGAGAGACAAGCGTCGTGTCGTGTCGTGTCGTGTCGCGCGTAGGCACAAGGAGTGAACCGAAACACACGGAGGGGACTCGGACTCGGACTCTGACCATCAAGGACCCAGATTCAACAAATCGACACGAACGCGAGAGCGAGAATAAAGATAGAAGCCAAACTTCTTCTTTCTTTCCTTACAACTCTCAAACCGGAGCCCGAGTGGGCGCACCCAGCTCCTAAATCTCGACCGAACAAGAAAGTATCTCTCAGACCAAAACCGTCTCGAGCAAACAGAAAAGAGAACTGAAGATCAGAAACTCGAGGAACTCACGTTTATTATACAACACCCTCCCCATCAAATGGAACAGCGCCATCGCGTTTTCTTTCCTCGTCAACGTCGCCAGCGCCGCCGCGTCCATCATGTTCATACTTCCGTTTGTGCTCCTACACCACCAAGGTCAGCTTGACCACACACGTCTGACCGACCCAACCAATCAAAAACGGTTCTCAAAAAACTTACCCCTTCTTTGCTTTCGTCGCCTTCTTCCCGTCTTCCCGTTCTGTCCCACCGCTTTCGATTCCGCCCACCCCACCCCCAACCCTCCTCATCCCAAACTGCAAGCTCATAACCGCGCTCCTGACATCACCGCCCGCTCCGCTCACGACTGTGTCGATTAGACGTTTAGCATGCGGGGATGTTGGGGGGAGATGGATAAAGGATGATGCATTCGAAGAGGCCATCGAAGGTTGAGAGATGTTGGCGGTCGAACGCCGAGAAGAGGAGGTGGATAGTTGGGAAGAAGGTTGAGAGGAGGAAGAAGAAGAGGTAGTGGAATATGAAGACGCAAGACGGACAAGAAGCGATTTGAGCGCGCTCGTGAGGTAAGTCGGAGCGATGGGGTTGAACCTATGTCCAAGGGCAGTTGTGTGGCGCGCCACACGAATACAAACGGCACATGGGGCGAAACAAGACCAAAATATAAATGAAGAGCAAAGACGGAAAAAGTCAGCGATTCGTCTAGGATATGGACCGGAGCAAAGAACAAGTAATAGAGGAGAAATGCAGGGTCATGGACCACGAGAAGTCGCGCACCAGCAGCCCCTCCCTTCCGACCTCTTCAATCTCCAGCCTACAATATCTCCCCCCCAAACAACAACCCGACTACTAAAGCGAAAAAAAAATCACTCACTCAATCCTCGTAACCCCGCCTGCCCCCGCACCCATGCCCACTTCACCCACAACACTTCTATAGTCCAACACCTCCTCTCTCCCTCCTCCTCTCCCTCCCCCTCCTCCTGAACCTGGACCCCCCGCCACCCCGTCCAGAAATTTCTCTTCGGAGCCTTCACCGCGCAGGCCTGTGTCGCTTATGATGATCACGATTGGGGCTGGTGCTCTTCCCATTTCTTTTTCGCTTGCTTGTGCAGAAGAGGAAGAGGAGTAAGAAGGAATGGCAAGATAGTCTTTTAGTGTGGCGTGGAACCGGTCCCGAACGGAGGGATGGAGGATGTTGGGGAGGTCTTCGAGCAGGATGAGCTGTTGTTTCTGTTGTTGCTGTTTCTGTGGCTGTTGTTGTGATGAAGTCTGAGTCCGAGAGGATGAAGATCCAGGAGCAGCGGGAGACGGTGATAGGGATGAGGAGGAAGGCAAAGAAGAAGAAAAAATGGACCGATAGGACCCCGCGCGGGTGAGGAACGCTTCGAATTTGTCCATTGTGGATTCATAGGGATCATCGTCGTAGGGGGAGTCGTCAGGGTCGGAGTCGTAGGGGTTGTGGTTGTCTATGACAGTTTGAGGGGAGACGGGAGACGGAGGAGAAAGAGGGAGGTGTTAGTGATGTGAGACGGAGCGTGTAGAGGTTAGAGAAAAGGGAAGCGAGGATGAGAGTAGGGAGTGTAGGTGGAAGATATCAAGGGAGATATTGTATACGTGTCAGATGTGGATATGTGCGCGTGAATGGCGGTGTGAGTGCGACACGATCATCGACCAGCAACGGGACACATTTACAATGATACAGCCTATAGGGTGCACATCAAGAGATTTTGGCATCGCCCAAATGTGGACGCATAAGGATCGCAACCGCACTTCACGAACATCATACACATGTCCTCCACACAAGTCGAAGAGCTCACCGAATCTTGCACGTCGACCAGAAGGAGCAGCAGCGACAGACAACGGATTCCTCCACTCTAGTATCTCGAAGCCGAGTTCGCGAGATAGGACACGCAGGGTGGTTGTTTTGCCTGAGCCTGCGGGGCCTGTGAGGACGAGGAGGCGCTGTGTGAGACGTAGAAAGCAGGAGGTTAGCAGTCGATAGTAATGAACGATGCTGGAGAAGAGACCAACGCGGTATTTCTGAAGCTTGCTCGGTTGAAAAGCCTCGAGGAGCCATTGCCTGACGTCGTTCACCTTGCGTTTATGAACCGCCAGGTCTTCCTGCGTCGGGAAATATGAGTAGAGCCCGTTTAGTCGAATGTAAGATACGGACCTCTGTCTCTGGCTCGTAGACATCTACCCACATTCGATCATCAGCGACAGGCTCTTGCACCTTGGCAATTCCCTTTCCGCTCAGACCTGCGGGTATCGAGGGAACCTTGAAGCCTCCGTTCGACTCGAGCTTGCTTCTGCTCTTGTTCGACGAAGGCTGAGATGGAGGAAGCGGCTGCGAGGGAGGTGGAGAGTGCGTAGAAGAGGACGGTGAGGGCGAGAGATCAAATGTCGGTGCGCCATTTGTGAGCTGCAATATTGACCGATAAGTGAGCAAGGAGGGTGTAAGGGGATGAAGAGACACGAACGGGGTTCAGCCGTCTCAGCTTCTTCGCCGCCGGGCGAGGTCCATCTATGGCGACCAGCTTCAGTGTGTTCTGCCGCGATACCTTGCTGCTCTTCGGCGCCATAGTCGTCGTCGTCGTCGTGCTCGATATTTTGCGTTCTCGCAGTCGTACTTACTGTGGCGACGACATAAGTGTGACTCTGTGACGTTGCGAGGAACGAGCGTCGTGACAGAGGGTGGTCTATGGATGCGCGAGAGCGAGAGCGGCGTGACAACTCTTTTCGCGCCTGCTCTCGTACTTGCTCGCCGCTGAAGCCTGAAGCCTGAAGCCGGAGAGTCCTCAGACTCTCCCTTTTTTCGTACTCTCTCTAGCTTAGAGCCCTTTAATCAGCCGACATTCTAGTCTAGAGCCTTTTAATCAAACATTCTTGTCACATATATCTATTTTTTTCTCAGGCTACACACCTTCAGCGAACAAAAATGAGTGCTCCCCTACCACTCATTGACCCGACCAGCTTTACTCTGCCCAATCACAAGAATCCGGAATATGCACCTCTGATCAACATCTTGACGGGTACCGGCCTCAGCTTAGACGATGCCGTGAAGGAGATGGATGAGGTATGGAAGGCGGCACAGAAGAAGAGGGTCCAGGAATGGAATGACGAGCTGCGCAGGGTCGAAGCGGATCGCGCGAAAGTCAGGGCTGACGAAGAGAAGAAGGAGGAGGAAGAGAGGTTGAAGCGCGAAGAGGAGGAGAGGAAGGAAAAGGACGAAGAAGAAAAAAAGCGGGTTAAGATGCCTGCCATGGATGAAGCTACGACCATCTCCGCGACACCCCGCTTCCCAGTCCCTCAGTACGCACTCGACAAAATCTCAAAAAAGTTGTGGGTCGAACACGACTTGTTTACACCACGGATGGCCCGCAAAGCGGCCGTCGAATCACGTTCAATTCCTACCAACCCCTTCTCGGGCCTCCCAGAGTCGAATCCGCTCCACGCCCTGTCGACGCTAGTCGAAACCCAAAAGCCCCGAGGCGTCATTGCGGACGAGGCGCTTTCCTACAGCGACCTGTCCATCGCCAGCAAACACTTTTTACGAGCTATCCACGACGCCGACTGGGATGAGGAGCACGTTGAGGCCTGGACGGTCCTCTACTACGAACTCGACAAGCATCCCTATCGTTCCGAATCCGAAGAGGAGCGCGAGTTGTACAACGAAGTGCTTGTTCGCTACCACGCACAGGCCAAACGTGAGTTCTTCGACGCGATCAAGCGCAAGGCCAAGTCGGTCTTCAATATCGGCCGCATAAATCAAGAGCGCATGGAGAATGTCTTGAAGGACATCAAGCGTGAACGAGACGCCGTCATCACCAAACGGAGTATAGCGGCGATAGAGCAGATGGAGCGGGTCAGTATATTCCGCCTTATACATATGATGTCCTTTCAATTACTGACATTTCTGATTTGCATCCTTTCCTCTATCAACCCCTCTCTCTCTTCTTCACCTCTCTATCATGCAAAATCGCAAAATCGCAAAATCGCAAAATCGCAAAAATCGCAAAAATCGCAAAAATCGCAAAATCGCTTACGCATTCCCCTTGCTGCGTCGTACAGCTTGTCGAGGACAGCTCTCGCCCAAAAGAGAACTCTCGGGAGCGTGGGCCCAACGCCATGCAAAGAACGCGCTACCGCTCCCCAGATCGAACCTCTCCCCGTCGTCGTTCCGCCTCCCCACACCGCAGACGCTCGCCGTCGCCACCCCCGCGCCGCTCACCTCGCGATCGCTACCTAAAAATTGCATCCTCCGGTCGACGAGACAACGAGAATTTTCGTCCGGACGCAGGTACCGCGGCCTTATCCGCCTGCGTCATCTGCCTGGGCCGCCACCGCCACAGACTCTCCGAGTGCGCAAGCCTCACCCTGTGGAACGGTGCCCCTGCTTACTCCGAACGACGAGGAAAGGCCGTCACGATCAAAGCCTCACGGGAAGCGGTATGCCTCTCCTGGAACTACCCAAACGGCTGCGACGACGGCTCTCACCCCGGGCGTCACATCTGCACCGGCTGCGGCTCTTCTTCCCATGGAGCCCAGCGCTGTCATCTCGCAGAGAAGACGAACACCACGGACTCCGCTTAAAGCGGATGCCTGGGAGGCGTATCTCATCAAGTCAGGCCTCATCGCAAGATACCCGCTTCTTCCTCGGTCTCTTCGTTCCGGTTTCTTCATTGGTGTTCTCTCTATTTCGCATACTTTCACTCCACCTAATCGTCCCGCCGTACACGAATATGCGGACGCCTTCCAGACTATCATCCAAAAGGAGATTGAGGCCGGCCGTTACCTTGGCCCCTTCACTCGTCTCCAAATCGAAAATTCCATCGGCCCATTCCAGTCTTCCCCTCTCTCCCTCGTACCAAAAGCTGGGAAGCCCGGAAAATTTCGTCTTACTCAAAATCTATCTCATCCACGCTCTCCGCTCGTGCTACTGTCGTCACCCTCATCCCCAATCACGATATCTTCCATCAACTCCTCTATCGAAGCTTCCGACTTCCCTTGCACATGGGGCACCTTCACCGTCGTCTCGCTCTGGCTCTACCAGCTCCCGCCCGGTTCTGAGCTTGCATGTCGTGACATCGCCGACGCGTTCCGCTCAGTCCCTTCCGATCCATCACAATGGCCAGGATCCGTCGTCCGCACCGGTGACGATGAGTTCTTCATCGATACCAATGTCATGTTTGGCATCACCTCGGGTGTGGGAGTCCATGGTACCGTCGCAGATGCTGGTACCGACATTTTCCGTTGGAAGGGAATGGGGCCAGTCTCCAAGTGGGTGGACGACCACCTGTTCGCTAGGATACTCCGCGAATACCTCCCCGAGTACAACAGACGACGTGCTGCCGCTCATCAGCGTATCGAAGCCAACGGCGGACGGCGTCAAGATGGATCTCGCCTCTGGTACGCGGGCACGACCCTTCCGGATGGGCGAATCGAGGAATTCGACAACGACTGCAAATTTCCGCTGCAAGACCTATCCTCCCGTTCATCTCGCTCACCTATGGACGCTCGGTTCTCATACTGTATGGCCGACATCGACGAACTATCCGAAGAATTGGGCCTCCTTTGGGGCAAGGATAAGGACATCTCATTCCGGCCGCTCTGCCCATTCACAGGCCTGGAGTGGGACATTGAGAGACGGATGGTGTCGGTCGGGGAGGCAAAGAAACAGAAATATCTCAACGCCATCGCGGTGTGGCGTGAGCAGCGGTCCCACGTCCTTCAGGAAACACAAAAACTCTATGGCAAGCTTCTGCACGTCTGTCAGGTCATACCACGAGGACGAGCGTTTCTCACCAACCTGGAGACCTTACTCCAACTCTCCCATGATCGTCCATTCGTTCCGCTCACCCCTCCATCCGGCACAACTGAAGACATCGAATGGTGGTGTCGTACACTCTCACGACCGTTCCTCTCCCGGTCTCTCTTCATTCCGGCCGTGGTCGCGGACCCAGGCGCCTTCTCGGATGCAAGCTCTGGAACAGGGATCGGGATCGTTATCGGGGGTAGATGGAGAGCATGGCGACTTCTCCCTGGCTGGAAGCAGGACAGGCGCGACATTGGTTGGGCGGAGGCCGTGGGCTTCGAGCTACTCGTCCGAACCCTATTCAGCATCGCCGACTGTCCATCACATATCAAGGTGTACGGTGACAATAAAGGAGTGGTCGAAGGATGGTGGAAGAACCGAAGCCGCAACCCGACCGTCAACGCAGTCTTCCGTCGAGTCCACGACGTCCTTGAAGAGAAGGATGGCACGGTATACTCCCGCTACGTATCAACCCATTCCAATCCCGCAGACGACCCATCCCGAGGTATCTACGGCGCGAATTCTCTCCTACTACCGCCGGTCAAAATCCCCAACGCCCTTACGCCATACCTTGTCGACTTCGATGCCCCCTTATCTCCCGTGGAGAAAAAGGCTCGCACTGAGCAGTCCTACAAATCACAGCCGAAAGTCCTCGATGACAAAGCGCGCAGACGGGGCTCCGATATCAACCTTGAACTTACGGCTATCGGCAACTCCCTCCTCGCTAACGAGATCTACTGGTGGGACTGAGCACAGTTTCGGTGCGGTCATCTCCCTCCCCTATCGCTTGCCGGTAGCCCAGCGCCCTCGTCCCTATCACTCTCACCTCACTCCCCTTCCATCGCCTCTTCGTCCTCACTGCTTTGCACGCGAAAGGTTACTTGTCTGGCGTCCCGAATCATCCCGCGTCGCCACCGATCAGTTTGGGCGTCCTCTCCCGCTATCTCCATTTGACCTTGAACGCCTCCAAGCAGTCCTAGCACATGCGTGGGCCGACTCTTCATACGAGACCTATGGTTCAGGCCTCCTTCTCTATCACATCTTCTGCGACATTTTCAACATTTCAGAATTTCAGCGGGCTCCGACCTCCCCAGTCATCATGTCTTTATTCATATCTATGCTCGCCGGCTCTTACTCCAGCAGCGCCATAGCGAACGCAGTGGCCGCGGTCCAAGCTTGGCATACGCTGCACGGTGTTCTGTGGGTGATGGACAAAAAAGAGATCGGGTTGATGCTGAAGGCGGCAGAGCGCTTGGTACCGGAATCCTCCCGTCGGCCTAAACGAGACCCCTTTACCATCGAGATGCTGGACGCCATCGGGTCCTCACTCGATCTCACCGACTCCTTTAACGCATGCTTCTGGTCGTGTCTCACTACGACTTTCTACGCTACGGCACGCCTCGGGGAATTCACGCTTCCAACCCTCAATGCCTTTAATGGCAGTGATCATGTTAAACGGTCAGATATCCGACGCGCAGTCGATGATGAAGGAAATGAGGTATGCTTCACGCTTAACATGGTCAACAAGACGGAACAAATGTCTAATTTTCGAGCTTCAGGTCACAATCTTTCATCTTCCGAGAACAAAGTCCGCTCCGATTGACGGTGAGGATGTATTCTGGGCGCGCCAGCCCAATGCTATTTCCGACCCAGAACGTGCTCTTCAGCTACACCTCCTAATCAATGATCATGGTGATAACTGCGCTCTCTTTTCATACACCGACAATCGCGGCTCTCAACGTCCCCTCACCAAAACAGCTTTTCTCACCAAGCTTACTGAACTCGGCGACCTCCTCAACATGCAATTCCCACACGGTCACGGAATTCGTATCGGATCCACGGTCTGGAACCTCCTCCGAGGCATGCCTTTTGAGGTTATGCGAGTTAAGGGCCGCTGGAAGAGTTCAGCCTTTCTCCTCTATCTTCGCCGTCACGCCGAAATCCTTGCTCGATACATCCAGCAAAACCCGCAGCTCCAAGAGGCCTTACGGCGGATCACGCTGCCTCCAATTCGCTAATTCTGTAAGCACTCCGTCACCCCGTTCCTACATTCTTGGGAATCCGTGCTCGCTCGATGCGTCACAGGGCTCCTTAATTCCTGGGTATCCACAGCTTACACGGATTATCTTAGCAGGTCGGAATGTGCCGGGATTCGGAAGGCTCGCCTTCGGCGGGCTTTCGCCCACTCTTGCTTATTCTATGCTACACAAATATATTTGCTGCCCCTCCTGTTTCTTGTGTGATCACCGTACCAAACGAGACCAGAAGTCTCGTTCGACCTACTGAGCGTCGAGCAGAGCAAGATCCATAGACTCAAGACAAGTCGCGAGTCTTCATTCTAGATCTCGAACGCGGTCACGTGCACGGACGCGTTTACCCCGGAAATCGCCGGTTATACTCTTCTTGCTCAAGGTTCTGAACACTCGAGCTCTCTGTCAACTCTCAGATCGTCCAATCCTTGTCCGACCGCTACACTGGCCCTCATCCGACTCTGGCTAGTGTTCCTATCCTCTCTTCCAAAAACATACTCTCGGAGATCATCGACAGACAATCCGCCTCCGAGTATTTGATCTTCGTACGCTTTTATAGCGTCTTCAAGCCCGACGTACGATGGCAGATTCTTTGCTAGCATAATCGGCCTTTGTCCCTGCCGATGCACTCATATATCCCCTAGTAGCCTGTGCTTGTACTGTTCAGACGCAAGGCCAGTATGGCCAATTTTCACGCCACGCTCTCGTATCGAACATCGGCGATCGCGCTGGGCCCAACTTTCGCCTCCCCGAGTCTTTGATCTAGCATGTATCCCCTCTCAGATACTTTACCATGATGATACTCATGGGATCCAACTGCATCCTTGCTGCACTCTTCAGCCCGTGCTCGTACCGCCGTTCAGATGCAAGGTCGATCATGCCACGGTACACTCTTGTAACGAACATCGCACGCCCTGCTTT